AACTCATAATCTTGGACGGCTTGACACTATTGATGATGCCGAAAATCATCACTTGTCATTAATCTGCCATTATCCTGATGTTAGTTGTATTACTATTATCTGCCTTTAGGTTGAGTCCATCGTCAGTCAAGTGAAAAGCTAGTCCATACACACCCCCTCCCCCGACATGCAACATTTTAGAGTAATTTCCATACATGTTTCATCGTAGTGTAATACATAATTAATTATTTATTTAATTAATTTTATTATTAAGCTATAAAAAAGTGTATTATTTTGAGTTTAACAAGAAGTAGAGTTGAATTAATTTCTGGAGTCAAAAGCGGTGAGATTCGATCGATTACGGTGTGCGAGCAGTGCATTGAGACGGACCCAATTACAAGACCTTATGGGAGAGAAGAAATCAAATCAACTCTTTTGAGCCTAAGAAGCAACCATCAAAGTCCACTACAAGCAGCCCAATATGTATACGTGGCCCAATTGGCATGAGAAGTTAAAGTAGGGGTACGATGGTAATTTTAAATGGATGATTTTGTTTGCTCCTTCTTTCTCCGTACGCACACAGACGAGTCTCCCATGCAGCGGTGGATCCAGAAAATTTTATGAGCCAGGACAAAATTAGTTCGAAAATTTTTTTAACCATATTGTACTTATATTAACAAACTAAATAAATCGTTGGAACAATCGAGCATTGAGGGTTCCCTATTCAATTTGCCTTTGACTTATGCTAAAAAATGCAATTGAGAATGAGGTCTGGTTATTTTATTTTGCATTTTTGTTATTATTAAGAAATATAACAAAAATATTTTTACCATCCTTTTTCTTCATTTTTTTTTGCAATAAGAAATAAACAAGTCATTTTGAAATGTAATTTATTAATTTAAGAAAAACCTAAATGTCATCATTTTTGTTCTTGTTATTTTATAAAGATTTTCTTATAGATTATCTTCTTAATATATATGTAGAGTTTTTTAGTGTCAATTTCCAACGTTTTGTAATCTATATTTTAATTTCTAAGGATTCGAAATAGTCCATATAAATATGGATCTTTATCCAGAACTCAAGTTTAACGGTTTAGTAACTTAAATTGTAAATATATTTTAAAAGTTAATAACATTTGTATACATTATCTTTTTCTTTTTATATATATGGTAACTTAAATTAGTGATATTTTGGCAATGTATAATTTGACATTCATATTGTATGTATAAATTAAAATAGTTATATCTATCTGAGCTCTATCAATAAAAATTTAAATATTTGTCAATTATAATTGAAAAATAATAAATTTATCTATCAAGCTTATTATATGGTATAAGTACTAATATAATATCGTCGAATCTGACTGGTGAGATGTATCATTTTAAATAAAAACAATAGTGTTATTTTGTAAGAATATTTAAATTTTATAATAAAAACATGTATTTATATTTTTACACATATTAAATATAAAACTTTTTTTAACACATATTAACTATGTATAATTAGCAAAAAAAATTGAGCCTAGGCAATTGCCTAGGCTCGCCCACATGTAGAACCGTCCATGCTCCCATGGAAGTGAAAGCTTCGACCTCAACACCATCTTGCCGCCGTCGAGTCGCCAGAACCAGGCCACCTAATCACCGGAGATCCATTCTGAATTCTTAACGTCGGAGAACGTCCATGGCAGCCGAAATTCGCCATGCGCGGCCATCTGAACGTCTTCTGACCACCACGCCGCTGACCAGCCACCGGAGAGATGCATTTCCGACGTCCTAACCACCCCGTTGTCCGTCTTCTTCATGTCACCGAGGAGCAAAGGTTTCAGTCGCTGTCCCCGCCAGAGCAAAGCTGCTGACGGAGTTGGCCGGGATCCGCCATGTCCAACAACCTAAAGCCGACCAAGACAACACTTACCCGCCTTTGACGTCTGAAAGTTTCCAAGAGGTGAGAGCCGCTATAAAAATGGAGTTTTTGCCAGGGGCATAGCCAACATTCAATGTTTACCCGGCAATAATTATTTTACTAAAATATGACAATATTGCAAATAGACATGTTCAAGGTTTATAAACATGCCGCCATAATGGCGGTTCGAACCGCTGATCAATGGTTCAGTCAACCGTTGACCATAGTTTCTATTACGACCTAGCAGTATGGTTACGGATTGCAAAATGTCAGAACCGCCTGAAGGTCTGGTTGTAATAGAAAAAAGAAAATGAAAACTTTGTGAGGGAACAAAAAGAAAAAAAGGAATCAAAGTTTAACGATTTCCCAAAATTCAGGTGGAAAACTGTCCTTTTTTTTTTTGGAAAAAAGACGTTTTTTCAAAAATTCGATAGTTTCTAAAGAAATTTTCAGATTTTAACATTAGAATAAAAATTGAAAAATAATAGTTCCAATCGAAAATCAGTAGTTCATCAAATCGGACCGCAACAGATACTTTTTAAAGCAATATGTCAGCTTAATATATCTATATATATATAAATATTTGATTATTTTTTAAATATTAATAACTATTTTCCTCCAAAAATAATCTATCTACTATTTCGAAAAATTAATTTAACAATTTATGGAATATATAAAATGATCACTTATGGAAATTACGGCTCATTATTTAAGGACGTATTTAAACCATATTTTAGGATACCTTAATTACTAAAATCATGTGAATTAATTAGTATATGGTATAAAGTGAATGAATTTATTTTTGGTATTGATGGTTATTTATATTGGAAATAAATTAATCAATATATGTTATAAAGTGAACAAATTTATTCAGGTTATTTGATGACTGTTTTTTGGTAGGAAATTTGTTGAAAAAATAATCAATATACGGTGTACTTTTTTCTGTAATGGCTCATTATTTAAGGAAGTATTTAAACTATATTTTAAGATACCTTAATTACTCAAATTATGTGAATTAATTAGTATATGGTATAAAGTGAATGAATTTATTTTTGGTGTTATTTATATAGGAAATAAATTAATCAATATATGGTATAAAGTGAGCAAATTTATTCAGGTTATTTGATGATTGTTTTTTGCTACGAAATTTGTCGAAAAAATAATCGACATACGGTGTACTTTTTTCTGGCCAATATAATGGTTTTTAGGCGTGAGTTTCAATTTTTCATATGAAATTAACATAACTCCGACAAAATAATATGAAGGGATATTTTGATATAATGTACATGATGTTTATTTTATAGAAAAAGTACTGGTCAATTTTTTTTATTTGTATAACTAGTGGGTCTCGATTTAATTCATTTTTTGTTACAACATCTCAAATAATTTTTGTGTGAAATGCACTTTTCATTTTTTTTTCAGCATGATAAGGAGTGTCGATTCTTTTGGCATAAAAAATTTTATGACTTATTTTTTACTAAACTACTTAAATTTTTTAATTTGGATATTTTATACAAAAATAATTTTATTTTAATTAATGAAACAATATGAGTTTTATATTTATACTTATTATTCATATAGCTTTTTAAATATATGATAAATTTTACCAAAATATTATTTTATGGAATCACGTTATAGTCAAATCGAATTTCTGAAGAAAATTTTTGAAATGACACATATTCTGAAAATAATATAATGTAATTTATTTCAATTATGTGCAACTCGCGGGTTATGTACTAATTATAAAAAGACATTTTTATGTAATTTTGCACCATTTAAATTTTCTATAAAATTTTCAATAAATTAATATAGGTACATTGTATTACATATTGATTCCATATTTTTAATTTATAATATCGATAAGAAGATCGAGGGGGATGCGACCAATACCGTGGCTCCATACCTTCAGCAATATCGCGTTGTGTCGACAGAACGAACCGGACATAACGAGTTTTCTTTTCAGTGATAAAATGGATAGGTAGCTGCAGTACCGATACAAGCTACAAATAAAACGAAGTGGAACGAAGTGAAACGAAGTGAAAAGAGACCGAACCGAAGGGAAGGGAAGAGTTAAACGACTAGAGTTTGGTACCGGACCGAAAGGACCGAACTAACTCATCGAAAAGAAGACTCTCCTCTTACCGTCGGCCGAGTGAGAACTCAAGCCAGCAAGTAAAGAGGTCAAGCGATCGGGTATTACCCAGCTAAGCGCTCTGAGGAGGTACCGAGACCGCTCTCGGAAAACGGCAAGCTCACCGAGCTGGACCGAGACTTGTACGAGCAACGCGAGTTAATAATTTTTAATTTATAAATATTAATGAATATCGCTTATCCGTGCATCGCAGTAGTAATAATAACCTAGATACCTTTTAAAGACATCCTTTCAGAAATTCGGAGAGAGAAATTTATTCATCAAAGCGAAAGAAAAAATAGCCATTAAAATCGGGTATTCATGGACTATTATTTTGGACTTTTCATTGAAAGTGCATGTTTACTAGGTTGATTAGAATTGTTTATGGGGTTCCAATATTTGGCGGGGCTAATTTGTAAATAAAATGAGAATTTTATGTATAATGTTAGTGGTTTGCTTGAAATTCAGCCTGGGCCACAACCCAAGCAACAATACAAGTGCCTCCGCCCCTGGTTTTTGCTCCCAGGTATCACACGGTTCCGAATCTCTCGATTTTGTCACATCACTTGTGTGACATTTCCACACGAGTCGTGTGGCCCTAAGCACAACATACACGGGTGTTACGCGTTTTTCCTATTCCTACGGTATCTTTTACCTATTTCGACTAAGACTCGACCCCGACTATTTAAATAGCACAAGGACACGTTTTTTTAGGGAGTCTTGGAGAGATTTCAGATCTTTGGAATCCTTTGGAGGCGAGAAACACGAGCCAGACGAGCGAGAAAGCCGAGAAGAATAGATCGACAGAGTCGAATAAGCTTCTTCTTTCTTTTTCTTTTCGCTTTTCGAACTCAATGTTTTTGGCGGATGTAAGTAATTTGAATCAAAGATTCAAAAACAAGAGTTGTCTAAAATTTAAATGCATAAACAAAAACTAAGCATACCATAATATCACAATATTAAAATGAATAACAAAAAATAAAATCATTTGTATCCATATACTACTATTCATAAATGTTATATAAAACAATGACGCAGTGGTTGCTGATGATAAAACAAATATTAATATATCTCACAAACTTTGACATATCAACATCACAAGTTGACGAAGTACAAAAACTTGTCGATTCTCAACCGAAAAACTGTGAATTGTAGGATTCCCACTCGGCCCTCAGCTCGTTCAACTCATCTTTCGCCTGTGATATATCCATCTCTTTGCCTTTGACCTTGGGATTCTTTTCTTCCGCTGCAACGTATAATCGGTGTGTCGTTTTAGACGCCTCTCGTCTCTGTTCCACGAGCCTTTTCGCTTCTTTTCTGGCATCTTCTAAAGCCTCTTCCAAATATTTGCATTTATCTCTTACCTTGTCAAGTGTATTCACTATCTCCCCCTCACTTTCAACCGCATCCTTGAGTTGATAGAAGTTTTCCTCATAATCCAACAAGAAACTCTGACCGTCTTCTAGAAGCCGAACAGAGTCCTTCCAGTCCTCCATCATCCTCGGAAACTCAAGTCTCAACCTGTTAAAATGAACAGATTACTTACGAGACAAGTAATCAATCATCTTGCAATTTATTTTTTTCGAGCTTTAGCAGAATGTATGTATACCTTTTGGTCTGTTGGATTTGTTCGCCGCTATTAAACAAAGCTTCTGTCATTGCATTTTCGAGCTTGGGGTCCGCAAATTCGTCCAATTGGAGTTTGATCAGCTCATTGAAGGGCCCGTTTGCCAGACGCTCGACATCATCGGGTGATGATCGAATGTTGAGGGCAGGTGTCCAGCCGAAAGAACGCTTTGTTTTGTTCCTGAGAAAGGATTGAGCATTGGTGTAAATCGAGTCCATGGTCTCCAAGTAAACCAGAATATCGACACTTGAATCAACGCAAATTGATGGATCAGCAGGTCGAGCGGCCTATATGGGAAAATTAAAAATGGGTAACATAAATGTGGAATCTTTTTCTAAAAAAATTAAATTTGGATTGGTTAACTTACCGGTGTGAAGGAAGTAACGCAAAGCTCGACTTCAATTAAGCATGTGTCTTTAACAATGTAACCTCTCGTTCGGTCGTGCAACTCATCGTGTGAGATAAAAGCAGGATAACCCCAACTTACCTGGCCATGCTTAAAGATAAAAGTATCTTCTTGGTCTGTTGTGTGTTGTCAACATGATAAACAATCAAAGTTCAACAAAAAATTCAACTGGAAAGCAAAAGCCTATAGATGTGATGCTTCATTGCAAAAGGAAATTAAAAGGTGATGGATAAAAAAAATCAAACAAAAAACTCAGTATTACGAATTCAGATAAATAATACCAATGTCAAAGGACTTATTTTGGTCAAACTGGTCGACTAGAACGAACGTGATATCAGTTTCAACAAACCACCCAGACGGTGCCATAGGTTCATCTATAATAAGCTCGATATATAAAGACAGATAGCCATCTGCATCTATCCCTTAGGGATAAAGGAAGATCCTCCTGATAGAAGGAGAAGAAAGAATAATTTAAAAAAAAAATCAACACAATGTATACAAATAAAACGGTCAAATATCGTATTAAATTTGAAGCACATATATATACCATTTGTATCCTGCAAACGAGCAAGTCTGTGAGAAGAGCTTCTTCACGTTCAGCTTGGAGAAATTGTCGATTTTCCATGCCAGCTTTGTTACTTTGCAAGCCTCCAGTGATTGGTTTTGCACAATGCAGCCCATTTTTTTCTTGTGATATATAACTGATCAAATATACTAGCAATATGATCAAATCAAATCAATTCAAATCTGCCCATTATATTAGATAAAATGAAATGTAATCATAAATTCTTGACAAACAATAATCGACACCATATGCATTCGCCCCGGTCAAGTACATAGTCATTTTTGGACACAAATCAACAACTTAACCAAAAACTATGGTGTAGCCAACTTTTTTTTTTGCGATCTTAGTAGATAACAGAAATTACAGAATGCAAAAAACAAAATTACCTTGGTTGGTTTGATGACTTTAAGAAGAGAAGAACACAACTAAACCTGCACAGATTATTTGAAGAAGTGACCAAGTCAGAAGTTGAACAATGGAAATTACAAGTATAATTTCTGAACTTCCCAGAAACTGATGAACTAAAATCAAAGAGATTGTTATGAAATTGAATTCAAAAGTCGATTTGTTCACTTTTAACAAAACAACTAAATTATTGCGATTGCACTTAATATTCTCCCGCGTAGAGTTTCTCATAGACTTCAACCAAAATAAGCACGTTCATGTGAGGTTGACGTCTCCTCCTACCTGAAGTCTTTAATAATATTTTGATGATGTCTCAATTCTCTTGAACCAGAGCTTCGTCTTACAAGCCTATCTAGGGTTTGAATGAATGATATCTTCACTATGGAGAGGTCTGGCTGGCGAAAGGAGAATTGAGAGAATTATCGTTTTTTTCTCGATTCAATAAACACTTGTACAACGACGGTGCCTCGTTTGTTTTGTTCATGGACGGATTCATAAAAGTGGGATGATATTCGGACAAGTTAAATTTAAGACCGTCCCGGTCGGCGTTCACCCTTACTATAAATAATCAACATATTATAGATAATCCGAACTTAAATATATTTGGATTAGAAGTAAACTAAATCTACCCAAACCTAATAACGAAACATATATTTTTGCCACATATGATCCCGAAGCATGTGAGCCTGCCACATAGGCTCAGCACGTTCTCAATTAATATATAGGGAGGGATAAGTCTTAAATAGGACTCATAAGAAACCTACTTACCATAAAAAGAAATAGAATAAGAGTGTTGTTAAATAAGACTCATAAGAGATCTACTTACCATAAAATTTAGACTAAATCCCAACTCAAATAAATTTACTAATCATAAGAGATCTATTTATCATAAAATTTAGACTAAATCCCAACTCAAATAATTTCCTAGTAAAATACTAGAATAATTAAATAATTTCTCCTAGTAACAATAAAATAAAAGGAAAAATAATTAAACTAAAGATGTGAAACGACTGGTCCAAAAAAATCAACGCAATCTCGTCTTCATCTAAAGTTAGCATATGGGTATTTCCTATATGGGCAGGCCTATAAATATATAGCACCCCGTTCAAGCGTAATCGTGTGATGCACGGGGTAATAATTATAAATTGCATGTATTAAATTAATTAAGAAATACTTATTAGTATAAAAATAGTTTTGAATATTAATAATTATTTTTCTTTATTTTATGATATATAAAAATTTAGTATATCATTTATATGTTTATTTTACTTGTTACAAAATAGTTGTAATTTTAGATCATGTTTAGAACTAAGGATAATAAAAATTTAACATATTCAAACATTATCAATAACTAATACTCACATAATTCTTCTCTCTCTCTCTCTCTCTCTCTCTCTCTCTCTCTCTCTCTCTCTCTATCTTCTCTTACTCATACCTTGTTACAATATATTATTTCGATTTCAAAATAAGTCAGGCTAAAATTAAAAAATTGTACCAAATATTATAGCCCACATTTAATTGCTAAAGATTGTAATGTGTATTATCTTGAAGTTAAAAAAATATTTATTTTTAATTGCAGTAATATTATTTTTTTTTCTTATAATTTATAATATTATAAACATTTTAATTTTTTTTCGAATATATTTATTTATATGAGATATGTTATGATATTGTGAATCAAATATGAATTTTTAATAAATTGAATTGGTGCAGTTATTGATAAAATCAAAGGATATTTTTGATATATGGCTCATTACGAAATGAATATAAAATCGTAGGGATTTGTTAATAATGTTGAGATATCAATTCTATTATAGTAGTGTGGTAGTTATATCAATAAGATTCTTGCAATTGATTTCTAAATTTATTTTGTACTTATATTTTGCAATTTTCTCACTCATATTTCAGTCTACATATGGCTGGATACACAACAAAATAGGAGATTGGTGATTTGAAATTAAGGATAAAGCTTAGTTTGTTGTTAAATATAAATAGTTTTTTTTTTTTTTTATATTCTGAAAAATTGGGTATAGTTTTTGAAAAACAAAAACGGTTGAGCTATTGATAAATTGAATGATTCTAAACTAATCCTCTTAATCAAATGATTTTTTGGAGATACGATAAAAGATATTTTGGTATATGGTTGATTACCAAATGAATAAGAAATCACCATGATTTGTTATTAATGTTGATAAATAAGATTCTATTGTAACATAAAATTTCCATAATTGATTTTCAGTTTTCATTTTGTAATTATATTTGCAACTTTATCGTGCATATTCAAATAATATTTTTAAAAGTGAAATATAATTTTATAGACATTTTTTGAAAACGTGTTGCATGGTCATTTACCAAAACAGTAAGAAATTGCAGTGATGCGTAAATATGAAGAATTGAATTTTTATTGCGATAATTATCAAAAAATAATTTGCAAAATTCATACCACTTTATTGTGTAGAATGTAACTGGATTGCACGATTTACAATAGGTATGTGTAATTTATTTTTATTTTTTTTTTAAATATTAAAATAATTTTTACTATATTTCATTTAATAGTAAGTCAACTTATTTAATTACAAAGTCAAAATTATTATTTTAATTTATTTCATTAACATTTTTCAATATATATAGATGATTGATAAAATTGTATAAATTAAAGCTGGTAACGCAAAACACTCCAATCGGCTCGGAATCGGTTCGCCTCCTTCTCCCTTGCCGATAGAACGCCGCGCTCCTGCACAAAAACTCTCACACCGGAGGGGTTTTCCGGTGAAGAGCCTCCGATGCTTAAGTCAGTATATGTTCGTTCAATTTTCCCAAGTAAGTAATGGATAAATCGTAAACCCTAAAAAAGACCCACTCCCTATATATATAGGAGTGGGATACCTGCCCTAAGAGCTGCCCGGCTATTTGGTGAGCTGTCCTGCCCGCGCTGCCCATCCGTACATACACAGTACGCGTATTGTCAGAAAAGTCAGGGACGTCAGAGGTGGTTACCGCCACTTTTACTCTGCACCACTGGGTTCTCGCCACGTGTCCCCTTTTTCGCTGAGGGGAAATATTCCTTTACATAGGCCGTTGGGATTCCTGAATATCACCCACGCGCCTACTCGCGTTCAGGTCACGCTCTCGACTGTCTCCTTCCCACTACGCGCTCGACATGGTCGAGCTCCCCTTCGCTAGGTCGATCCTCGACCAGCCCTGTCATTCTGCTCGATCTTTTCTGCTCTGGTCGATCATCTTTTAGCCCATGCGGTTTTCTTCCTACTCATGCCGGTTTGACCGTCGTGATAAGCCGGTCTGTCCTTT